AGGAGTTCGAGTGTGATCTTTTGGTTGTATACTCAGGAAGCAGTCCCCAACAAACCTGAAGAAAAGTTCATCCTGTTTCGAATTTTTTTTATAAAATGACATCTTTATTGGATTATTAGAATTGACACTTATAAGAGCTACTAAGTCATCATTAACACAATTTATTATTCGCAGTATACACATTTTTTTTTAATGGATGGTTTAACTTTTATATGGATGGTCTGACTGATGTCATCTTAAAGAAAAAGACAATTACAATTTCAGTGAAACAAATTTTGATATAGATCTATCTCTAATAGTGAGAGATTTGACAAATTGAGTGAGTGCTACAAACATAATTTGTTACTACAATTGCAAGGAAGTCAAGTCCTCTAGCACATTGGGCACCGGTTTAGGTTATACATATTACCCTTACTTTTAGAGCTAGACCCATTAAAGTCTACAGGCTGTTACAAATCCACTCCTCACTACAGGGATTTCGGAAACAGTAAGAGATACGAAGTAGCTTAAATGGGAGCAAAGTTGCATAATCAGGGGGACCAACATAATGCCTCTAAAAAATCAAGACTAACATGATTAATTTTCGAACCATTTGAAAAAAAAACTGAAATTTTGGAAATCCTTTGTTTCATTTCAGCTTTGTTTGAGCTGATATTGAAAAAAGAACACTTTCTCATGGCAACTTTTGCCCTCTATCAAATGGCATAATCAATTTTTATATGTAACGTTTCGTCTCTCCAGGAACATCATCAACTTCATTTTTTTAAATACGACCCTGGAAATTTTATTAGATTTTTTGCAAGCTTTGATGACCCCGAACTCTGTACTGCCTCAGCCCGAACCAGATTCAGACGTTTTGTCTCAAAAAATTTGTCTCCAATGTCTCAAATTTTTTATTTAGATTTATATGTTTATGGAATTATTGTACACTCCAAGTGTCAATAGACCCTGTGAAATCCACCTAGTTACTTAAACTATTACCATTGACGGATACGAATATATTGAAGACGAATTTTTCGAGACAAAACGTCTGAATCTGGTTCGGGCTGAGGCAGTACAGAATTGGGGGTCATCAAGGCTTGCAAAAAATGTAATAAAATTTCCAGGATCGTATTTAAAAAATGAAGTAGATGATGGTCCTGGAGAGACGAAACGTAATTGAATACACCATTCGATAGAGAGCAAAAAGTTGTCATGAGAAAGTGTTCTTCTTTTTTCAATATTATTTCAAACAAGGCTGAAATGATTTAAAAACGGATTTCCAAAATTTAGTTTTTTTTTTCAAATATTTTGAAAACTAATCATGTTGGCCTTGATTTTTTAGAGGCATAATGCTGGTCCCCTGATTATGCAACTTTGCCCCCATGTAAGTTACTTCGTATCTCTTACCATTTCCGAGATCCCTGTAGTGAGAAACGAATTTGTAACAGCCTGTATATTAGTGTATACTACTGCAATCATAAAAGTTATATGCAAGTTAAGTAAAGATACATATGATTGAAAATAATTAAGTTTCTTATATCTAAAAAGTGACAATCTGCGACAATAATGCAATGGTCCTTATCAGCTTGAGCATTTCCTGTCATCCCTGGATGTTAAACCAGACGAGTCATATAAAACTTAAAGAGTATTTCACAAAAAAATACTATAATTATTTCATATACAGAATGTTTCGCTTTGGGTAAATCAAACTTTAATCACAGATAACTAAAATATATTGAGATTTTTCTATTAAACCAGTCTTATCTCGTACCATTTTTCATGTACAGGGCCGTATTGATTTGTTTCCAAAAACACAGTTGGCAACACTAAATTATAGAATTGCTTATGCAATACGCCATTCCAAATTTAATTTAATCAGTTTATAAATAACAAAAATATTTTAAAAATGTAAATTTGAAAACCTACCATCACGGCCTTTAACATGGCAACGATAGGAGGTAAAACGTTTTTAAGAAAAATCTTAATATACTTTCTGAGTTCCATTTGTGACCAAAGATATAGTTTATATGCAGAAAATAATTTTATTTGCAGATGTAAATGGTAAAGATAAAACTCGAAATTAGACAAAAATTTTCTAAATAGTGAAAACTTAAGTAACAAATAATCAAAAGTACATATTAACAACTTTTTTGGTATTTTTATCAATTTATAAGTATTATTAAGAAATCTTATGGATTTATAAATTACCAATAGTTTTTCATATCTCAATGAAATATGAAAACTAAAAGGACTGAATCGTGATTTATTGAAGGGAAAGTTTTGATCAAGCATACTAAAATAGTCGTGTTAAAAAGCTACACGATTATATTGGAATCAAGGATTGAAAAGGAGGGATTTGGACTGAAGAAAGGTAGGGAGAGAGGAGAGGGGAAAGAGAGGGGAGGGAGAGAGAAGAAACAGAAATAGAGAAAGAACTGGGAAGAGAAAGAAGCCAGAGTGTTTTGTAAACATAGAGCCAAACAACAAGAATAAATGCGAAGAAAGAAGTTTCTTTGAACATGGGCCTGAAAATACTTAAGACTTGTAGCTTGAACTATCAAAAACATTTTTTTAAACTACTCCTAATAACCAATCAGATTCAAAAATGAATTGAAACACTGTTAGAGCACAAACATTCTGCAAGAAATTTGCTGGGACGAAAGCAAAAGATGCTGTTTGGCTGGCGAATAACAGCAAGAATTGCAGTATGTAGTTAATACATATCAACCTTTGTCGCTAAAAGCATTTACCCATCTCATACCCATATAGGGGAATAATTTTTTCTCAATTACAGTGGTGTAGATATAGATGAAAAAAAAATCTAAATTTTCGATAAAATAATATTTTCTGAAAGAACATTTCAAAAAAAACACAAAGAAGGTTGCTCGCTACCAATATCCATGATTTGCTTCATTTCCAAGAAAACTGGCAATAAACTTTTCACACTTTGGTAATGTATTATACTAATGATTAGTAACTAATTGATTAAAGCAAGGAAAAAACAACATGATGCTGAAATCTGTTCTTTCTCAGATATCAGTATGTAATTTTTCATTAGTTCCAAAGTTTAAATAGGCCTTAAATGTAGCATGAAATCATTTCAGCACTAATTTTCAACTATCTTTTTTTCTTATTTTAATTATTGGTGTGTTATTAAAATTTCTATAAACTTTTATGTCCAATTTTCTCAAAAAATCATACAATTGTTGTATCTTCTAAGACGCTCCTTCAGAAAAACATTTCATCAAAAAAGACCACTGTAATTTAAAAAAAAAGATTTTTAGTAATACACTTGCCACCACAATTTTCTATGTATTTTTAAATCTACGTTCATAGGCCTATTTCTGCTTAAGGAGGTTTATCTGATTTGGAATTGACAAATATTCATAAAAAAATTAATATAAGTTTATTTAACATGAAGAAAATCCTCAAAAAAATTATGATTAGTTTGGATACCCAAGAGACGAGATATTAATAAAATAATTTTTCACGATTTAGTACAAAATTTAGTAGAATGCAGATTTTTTTAATCTTTCCACTTAGAATGTGCAACAATCGACGAACAGTTTCCACAGCAACTTGTATAAATAGGAAACCGATATTTAAGGAACCATATGACAGCTCATACAAATCAATTAGGTACTTGTAAGATATATAATTTATAATAATTCTCCTTCAAACTGCTGTCGTTGACTAGCTTAACCTCCATATGCGTGATAGCGGCAACGGCGCGGTATCGACGTAGCATATTATTTGAAATTCGCAGGTATCCAAACAGAATGATCGAACGCGAGCGAGCGAGCGAACTCCGGGCCGAGCACGCCAGCCAAGCGCAACGTTGCCAAATCTAAAGGCCTACTACTTTAGTCACAAGCAAATCTACAGAAACTCTCGTTAGAGTTTAGACGTACCCGTGTATCCGATAAACCTCCTTAAGATGGCATTTCCCATTTCCCTTTTATTATACCCTATTTTAAAAACACCCTGTATAAAAGCGCGATCTCTGAAATGGATAGGAAGGTCATGACGAGACGACAGATTGAAATTCAAGGATAAACGAGTGACAAACAAACGAACACAAAATGCAGATATAGAAAATAGCAAAAAAAAAAATAACAGATCAGCGTAGGTCCACAATGATCTGTAATAAAATAAAATACGGAAGGTAATTTACCTCATTAAATGAATATTACTGCTATTTTTATTTTTTTTTTTCTTAACTTTATCCTGTATGCTCCATAACATATAAAACTTAATTAATCAACCAATATCGAGATTCATATGACCCCCTAGATCTCCCGATTTGAATGTTTATGTATTTTTATAAGGTTATTTTATACAAAACATTATTTAATGGTACACAATTCTAATAAAAAGATACTACAATTATACATTGGGAATGCTGCACAACATATTTCAAATGGAAGATTTTTTTTTAATTTTGGAAAAAGTTAAAATACAAGAGAACGGAAAGTTTTTATTAACTAAAGAAAGTTTATATGAAATTAAGTTAATTGATTTATTCCCACAAATTTAAATATTTTTGTAACACACACATTTTAAAATTTTTGTTTAGACAAGGCTAAATTAAAAAAAAATTAGGGCTGAAGAATTTGTCTCAATAATTAATATAGAGGCACGCCGTAATAATGTTCTCACATAAACAAATGAAAAATACTCGACATATCTACAATTCAGGCAATGCAAATATGTATTAAAAACTCATTTCCATAAATATAGTCTAGTAACAAGTAGTAGTTTTTTCATACCATAAAGATCGTCATTTAGTACTTCATTGCATCTGCAGTTTATAAGTATCGACAGAAATAAGAAAAATTACTTAATAGTGTTTACCAAATTACCACTAAAATCGACGTATCATAACTTTAACACAACTTAAATGACAGTACTTCCTAAAAATTTATCACATTAAAAATAAAGGTATAGAAAAAAACCAGCTTAAACCCTGGATGGTACTGTACGCTCAACATTCACCCACATTTGCATACAATTGTTACCTTGTTCCCTCATTATAGGACTGGTAAACTGTACAAGTACAGTCAAACCATCCCCAGCAACAGTAAGGCCAGCTTCAGCAGCATTTATTGTAACAGTATATGTGTTTTCTGCAGCAACTTGCTTTAGAGCTGCCGGCAAAAGTTCTACAACCTTTTTAAGAAGGGTCAGGGTAGGTTTATCTGCACAAAGAACCACCAATTCAACATTTGTGTCTCCTCGAAGTAAAAGACCTTTAGCAAGATGTCCAACTCTCATAACACCTTTCAAAATCCTATTAGCGTCACGATCTTGTTGGAAAGAGAATCTGTAAGAAATAAAACTATTACCACATAAAATATAATGTAACTAACACAGAGACCATGTTGACAAAAAAACTAAGCATTCCCCAAATAAAAAATTTGCAAAAAAAACCTTGTTCTGAAACACATAATTTTCTAAATGTATTATAATTTGTGATTAAAGATTTTTTTAAAATAGTTCATCCACAAAATTTGATGCAGTGAAGTAATATATTTACAACTTACAAAAGATATAGCTGATATACTGTCAACTAAAAATCCCTAAATCTTAGCATCACAAATAACGATTTGTTTACAATGAACAATGATAATGTGATTGCAGGTTGGTTGAATAGAATCTCGTGAAACATTACACTAATCACCAGCCGGCGAAACAGAATATTCTGTTTTAATGTAATTTGATCTTATTGTTTTAATAATTTCTAATTTTACCGAAATTTAATTGCCTGAAAAAAATGCAACGAAGAAGGAAAGGCGACAAGTTCTTAAAATGTCTATTATGGACAAATGAGGCAGAATTTACGACATAAGGAATTTTCATAACATATTTTAGTGTGTTTGGATAGCAAAGATGGAAATTTTAGTTGAAAAAATTAGTTGAGTTAACTGATTATTGACTCATTCTTGTGTATTTCATTTAACATTATTTATGCATTGCTGTTCGAGTTTTCTATCAGATAACTTGTTAGGTACTATTTCATAATTTATCTTATTTAAAAGAATAATTAAATTTTCGTTAGGTATGGGATGATAGGGCTCCTGGCAAACACTCATTCAATAAAAGTAACATGTCATGAGATTTGATAATGCATACTGCAGTTCCTAGTTTGTGTAGGTGCTGCAGCTAACAGGCACGGATTGAGATCACACTAGTTTGTTCAACTGGGATATGGAAATTATGAAGGTAAAATAAAAATCAGTTTTCACAACGTAACTTGAGAAAACAAAGTTATGCGTTTCTATAGGTCAAAGTAGCATCTGTATAAATATGACCCCCACTCAAAGTTACACCCCATATAACAAATGAAGACATGAAGACAAGTGATGATCGAGGTTTGTATATACTTTTTTACTTATTTTTACTTACTTATATATATAGTTCTTTTCATACATATAGTAGACATAAAAAATGTCAAAGCCTGCCGGTAAGTGTGATAGGGGGAGAGTAGGGCAAGACAATTTTTAAATGTCCATAGAAAATAAATGTTATAACAGCTAATTTATTTCACAAATCATAATGCTCTTATCAGGTACACTCATCTAGATAAATTGAATACAAAATTAATAAGAAATAATGTGATATTAATCAATAATTACGTATCTTGTCAGGTATTCAATTTAAAGGTTGCTGCGCTTTACCCTAGGTGGGCGGGATTTTGAATCGCCGGACGTGGACCCTGTATAGCCGATGTGTAAAAATATTCCCTAAATGAATAATTGCTAAATTGAATGAAATTAATTTATTTAGATATTTACGTTTAAAATATTAAGTCATGTTCCGAAAATATAAGAATATGCTGATAGTAGAGTGCCCGCTTTAATTTATTTTCACTTCTGTGGGCGTCGCGGGGTTACAAGCTGAATTATATATAAAATTGAAGCTTATATCTTACTAAATCAGAAACCGAAGGTAATAAAAAAATAACGCGGGCAGAAGGGCAGTAAAATCAAAAAACGAGTTATGACCACCGGCGGATAATACAGCACATTGGCTATAATTCTATATAAAAATCAACTTATATTTTGTACAGCATATATTTTTTATTAATTTTTGAAAGTTGCTCTTAACGTTGAGTCTTATGGCAGAATAAATTTTTAAACTGGAATATCTCGCTTCGAACACGTCGAAAATCTTACTTAAATTCAATATTTTTTTAGTTCCCACGCCATTTACCGGAAAACAGAGGCCTTAATCGAAAAATTTTACTCTTGCAAAATGTTTATTTCATCAATTTGAAAGACAACAGCGTTTAATTCAAAATTTTTGCTTCAATAATAAACAATATATGAATAAAAATACAAAATAAATCATTTTCGACTGGCCGGCGGACGGCTGGCTACTTCGCTTCCCCACTTCGCCAAAGTTGCATCTGTCTCACAAATCTTCATAGCTCCATCTCGTACTGTGTTACATTTTATTTTGATATTTCTTATCTTACCGGAATTGAAGGTGTGCCTTTTTGTAGCGGTTTTCTTATGTGTTTATATTTTCAAAAATATAGTTTTATGGGTGAATGCATATAACGAGTTCAGTACCTAACCTGGTTAAAATCTTAATTTTTCACTTTTTAAAAAACTGATAATGGTTGGCGTTTAGTGTTATAAACAAGGATAATCTTAAGTGAGAAATTTTACTTTAGTTAACTGTAGGGAATTCCACATTCCAATTATAGATTTTTTATCAGAATTTAGCACTGCACGAAATGAAACGTTCTCCAACTGATAGTACTAGTTCTGAGAACGAAATCGGCTTACACGTAAAATTCAAAACGCAAAAAATGTATAATATGTAAAAAAATTGGAGGTATTATAATCGAATCAACGGATAAAACTTCCTTTACTTTTATGAATTCCACTAACAATAAGATTCGGAGTGATATAAACAAAGAGGTAGATGAGGACATACAAAAAGTGTGATTGTTGATTGTGATACAAACAAAATATTGAAAGTTTAAGGAAAAGAGTGGAAAGACTGAAAGAGTACAGAGTAGCTGGTATTGAACCTCCACCACTTCCTGGTAATCACTTCCTAAGGGTAGCTTTGACATAAATAAATGTGTATTTTGCCAGAAGCTGTCTCCTGGGAAGACATTATCCCAAGTTATGTCTAAAAATATAGAAACTAAAGTAAAAACATTGCATCGATCTCTTCAGAAGTTTTAGAAAGAATAGGCTCCAATGATTTAATAGCAATGGAGGTAAAATATCATGTGAATTGCCTAATGACAGAATAGAATAAAAAAAATTGGGAAAACAATTTGGTAAACCACAAACACTTAAATGGAATTGGTACGGATGATTTTTCAGAAAATATGTTCAAGGATATTCAGATCATTATTATAAAACTATATTAAAAAAATTCTAATATTACGTCAGTAAACACTTTAAGAGGTTTGTTAGCATCGTCTTCAACAATTGCAAATCTGCTTCCGACTGAAGATACTTTGCGATTCCATTATTTGAGGACCTATTATCAGTCAATTGTTTAGAACTCTGTTCAAAATTGCCTTGTATTGCCGACTGTGGATAGAAAAATTGATAAAGACATTTGAACGTTCTTCATGTGGATGCAAAAACGTAAGATAATAAGTAGCAACCATTTTTGTAGTAATAAAATTTAAATTTTCTTAGATTGTGGAAGCAAGGTTTGCACTTACAAGAAAAGTAATATGGGTTGAATTTGGTCCTGTAAAAACATGGCTCAAAATCTTGCAAAAAGTTCGATGAGAAACGTGACTTGGATAAATAGTGTTTTTTATCTGTTAATCATGTTCTTAATTGTTAATAAAAAGGACTTTTTTTATGTATATATTTTATATACAGGGTCTCCGGTTCATGTTTCAAAAAAAACTTGTGTGCAAGTTCCTCATGGGAAAATAATAGGAGTAGTTCATGTGAGTTTACAGAACCGTTTAGAAATGTAATAAATATTGTCTTTTAACATATATTTTTTTCTATTGTAGATACCCCTCCAATTACCTGTATTGGCGACACTTCTTTTCAGAAAGAAACCGCTTGCACATTATTATTGTTAACGCACAGTAGATATTTATTCGTCTACAAATTTTGACATTTTTATCTTTAGCCGATTTAAAGATACCTAATTAAGAAAAACCATTTGGAAAGTAACAACTTCAACACACTGTATCTCAGGGCGTCTAAGAAAAAAACTTTACATGAACTACCCTTATTATTTTTCCATGAAGAACTTGCACACAAGTTGAACATGAACGGGACACCCTGTATATATTTATTAACTTTTAAATCTAATTATAAAAAAAATCGTATTTTAAATCTGTAGAAGTGAGACATAATTTATTTTACTAATTTTGGATATATTTTTCAAATTTGTATGTAGTAGGGTTATCACTACTGACACTGACTAGTACGTATCGAAGTAATACGAAATGGAGCTATGGAAATTTGTGAGACAGATGCGATTGTGGCGGAGTGGGGACGCGAAGCAGCCAGCCGTCCGCTGGCCGTTCGAAAAATTACTTGTTTTGTATTTTTATTCATATCTTGTTTATTATTGAAGCAAAAATTCTGAATTATACGCTGTTGTCTTTCAAATTGGTGACAAAAACTTTTTGCGAGAGTAAAATTTTTCAATTAAGGCCTCCGTTCTCCGGTAAATAGCGTGGGAACTAAAAAAATGTTGAATTTCAGTAAGATTTTCGACGTGTTCGAACCGAGATATTCAAGTTTAAAAATTTATTCTGCCATAAGACTCAACGTTAAGAGCAACTTTCAAAAATTGATAAAAAATATATGCTGTACAAAATATAAGTTGATTTTTATATAGAATTATAGCCAATATACTGTATTATCCGCCCGTGGTGATAAATCGCTTTTTGATTTTACTGCCCTTCTGCCCGCGTTATTTTTTTATTACCTTCGGATTCTGATTCAGTAAGATATAAGCTTCAATTTTATGCATAATTCAGCTTGTAACCCCGCGACGCCCACAGAATTGATTTTTAAGCATATTTAACGCTGCCGGGCACTCTACTATGAATTTGCATACACTTATTTAAAGAATAATTGCACTATTCGCTTCATTCTTGAAATGTACGTTGTCCATTTTTGGTACAATACTAAACGCCGAAACATTTGGCAATACAGCTGGGCTGGCAACAAAACAGATTCTGAACATCTCTCTAAGACATACGTTGTTCTCAAATTCCTAATGTGAGACAGAGACAATCAACAATTAGACCCGGTGAACTTATTACTTTAAATTTCTGATAGTTCAGTTTGCGCAGTACAGGGCAGGAGTTGGTGCTGCAATGCCGTCATTCTTATTTCTTAGAGTAGAGTTTGAGTAGTGATTTTTGTTTTATTACAAGTTTTTTTTATTGGTAACTTTTGTAATTCACTGCAATTGTTTTCAATTTATAGCCATTGTGTAGTAGTGTCTGCTGTGAATTGTTTGAAGGGAGACTTAAATATTATATTCTGTAAACTTTGCCTAAATACGACCCTGTTCTGCTAGGCAGACAAGTATTTGCGACCCTGTTTTTGTCGTTATCGGCAAAATAAAAGTTTTTTATTTCTACAATATATATGAAAAGAACTATACTTCATTATAGTTTGTGCACTTTTTTGTGGGACACCCTGTATTACATCAACAAATCGATTTCCCTGTATCAAATTTGTACATCAACAAATCGATTTCCCTGTATCAAATTTGTACCACATACTTGTCTCATTTAAATGTATTTTTAACTAAAACTAGAAATTAATCATATCGTGAGGACCGTGCCCGTGGAAAGCATATGAACATTGTTTTTTTTTAATTGGTAAGTAGTCATAAGTAGGTTAAGAGGAAAATACAACTTTACAATAAGAAATTTGTTTTCACGATAATAACCAGAAGAAAAAGGATATCGTCCAGTTCTACATTGGTTAAATATTCAACTAGCGTGAATATGCAGTGTTTTATGTGCCATCACTCATAGGAAGATTTCCGATAGGAACTTTATGTCTAATTTTTGGATGAGAAAAATTCCCTCAGCTGATGGCCCAAATTCAAATTGTCAAAACTTAAAAAAATGGGCAGCAAATATGTATTTACTCCTAACTATTAATAAAAGACTAGTGTAAATTCGTTAGTATATCTGTCATAATCAGTTGACACGTTTGCTGCCTATGCCAACATTGTCGGGGCTCGCGTTCGGCGACTAGTGCCCCCACTGCATGTGTGTCGGCACTGACAGTTGAGAATATAACCACCTGCTTAGAAGCATGCACCACGGGAGATCCGGGAGATTTATTTTATTACAAGAAATGGCGGACAATGCAGTTCCAGCGCCATCTGGGACATAACAACTTAGAATAAGAAACCCAGAAAAGCTTACTGAAAATGAAATGCTGGCTTTGACATATAGTGATTCGGATGAAGAACATTTTCAAAATTCTGGGTGCGAGTGGAGCGGAGCAGAAGAATTAGTGGAAGATTTTGCAGATGATTTAGGCGATCCACTGGAGCCACCTCTACACATTCAAAACGAGGAATTAGACCCTGATTTGTGCAATATTATCGTTTGTCGCCGATACTTGTGCGTCAGTGGGCACTAGGGATAATATATTTTTAACCAGTGCCCCTAAGGCAACATACGCTATGGTGTATTTTTTGTAAAAAAAAAATGAAGTTTTTAAACTTTAAAACAATATGTTTCTATATTTTTATAAAAATTGTTACTAATAATCCCAAATTAGTTGATTGGGATAGCCGAATTACATACGGTATTTGGGCAGCGAAACCTCTTAAAGTTAACTTGAAAAAAATATGTTGATACTAAAATTACATACATTCAAAATTGAAACTTACAATTGATTGTCCCTTCCATCCTCCTTTTGCTGATCACTATTCTTTTCAGCATCAGTTTTAGCAGCAGTGCCAGAGTCTGTTTTAGCAAGTGCCTGCCCTGCTGCAGCAGCTTGTCCTTCTTTGGGTTTGGCTTCTGCCAATTGATCAGAAACACTTTTAAGAGCACGTTCAGTGTGTGAAACAATACGCTGAATAGCCTGTAATTCTTCTTCTTTGGGATAAATCTCAGAATGACGAGCCATGACATGGCGATCATCACTAGATTCTGTCCTACGAGGCATTCCACCTTGGAAGTACTAAAAAAAATACATTTTATAGATTTAAAATATACAAAAATTATAACTTACAGGAGGTGCTCCACCTGGAAATGGTCTTCCTCTTAAATAAGGTCCCATATTTCCACGTCTTGCCATTTCCATATACTCTTCTTCATATCGTCTTCTGTCTTCCCAATACATGCCCTCTTCATCTTCTGGCATGTTATAATGCCTACGTGCCCAGAATTCCTCTCTTAAAGCCTAAAGAGATCAATTTTTATTAAATAGTTCAAGTTTATAAATCACATAAAATTGATGTCAGAATAGTCAAAACCCAAAATTCTACCACCTCTAAGTCATTTGGGGTGAAGATATTCTGTACTGATCTACGACAACCTTAAAATTTTGCAAAATAATAATTGTTTTACAAAAGGAACAATTGTCGTAAACAGAACACAAAGCTTAGTTTTTCTAATATAAAAAAATATAGTACTTACAGCCCGGCGCATTTTTTCTTCCTGTATCTTTCTTTGGCGAAGAGAAGGCTTCACATCTACTACAAGATCAGGATTGACTTTCTTCTTGTACTGTAATCTATGTCTTCTGCCCTTCATGTGCATTTCTTTAGCATTTGGGTCGTTAAAACGACACTCGCACAACTTACAATTAAAACTAATAACCTATAAATAGATTGGTGAATTATTAATTTTTTTGCCAATCTCATTTCAAAAATCTTCACTTGTTTCTAATTTAAATCACATTTAATAGATTAATTGAATTGTTCTATAATTTAAATATTTAAATATTTCCATATTTGAGAATTAAGTGGAAAAATGATCTGATATAATCTACATTATGTTCAATTTTATCTAAGAACAGATGGTGTAATAAAATTGAACTAGATTTGGATGATGATTTGGCAGGAGTATATCGCATAACTTTTTTATTTGCCACTTTTTTAAGTTCTACTATAATCTTGAAAAATATATCCCATTAATAGGCAGAAAAAAATGTTAAAGTTGTACAAATCGCCCTGAGACACCAGAATATTATATCAGATCAAACAAATGAATATTGAAAAGATCCCAAAACAAAAAGACAATATTATTGTCTGAGTTTAACCTAACAAATGTTATTTTTAACACATTCAATTAAAACAAGTAAAAATCTTTTATGGTATGAAATTGTGCTAATATAACTTACACAAACATACGGTGTGCATTAAAATCTGTATCATGAGAAAATTTTAATTAAAAAAAAAAATTGGTTTTTGTTCAATTTTCTTCATCAGCCAAAATATTACGATTTTCAAAAGAAATGCAATAATGTTTGTTTCACAATTTTGAAAAAAGTTTAAACTTCTATACCCACATACCAATTTTCAGTAAAACTTTTTTCCTTAAAGATTATTTAACCATATATATTTTATTCAATAATTTATATTCATGAATAAATGTTCCAAATATTTTTTTACAAACGGATGTTTTAATAAAAATTCATTATTCTTAATTTAATACTGCCGAGCCTCAGTCGAAGAGTCCTAAACCAAACAGGAGTTCTGTCAGACCATTGCAGATTTAGGAGGCATTTAAGTTTAATAGGAATTGAGGACCCTTTATGCCTGAAACGTGGAGTAGGGGAGGACACCCCTGTCCACCTTCTGGGACACTGTGCAGCCTTTGGGAGGTTAAGACACAAGTCTCTGGTGCTGAAGAACTGCAAGGGGTTGAGGTGAGGGATCTTCCATGGATCAAAATCCTGGTGTTCATTGGGGTGTCTGGTAGGTTCCAAAAGGGTCAGAGGCAGAGAGTGGACAGGTGATGGGACGGTGGGGTAGGCAAAAGGGGCCCACTTGTGGCCTAGTTGCCAAGTTGAGGTCGCCCCTTTCACTACTACTACTACTAATGTAATGCAGAGCGTATACAGGGTGTCCCACTAAGGTCTGCGAGGTACGATATTAGGAAAAGTATAGGCCCTAGAGCTTCGGGAAAAAAATTGTCTTTCATAAAGTTTAGGTCGTTTCATGTTTTCTTAAAAAAAAGTGAAATAGCAGGATAAAACTTTTTATAGGTTAGTTTGAAGAGCATAAAAATAGCTACACTTTGACGCCAAAAAGAGTTCGATATCTTTTTTGTTATCAAGTTCTTTGCAAATTAGTGAGCAAAAAATAAATAATGATATTAAATTGAGGAACACGAGGCTAACGAAAAGATATTTAATTACCAAAACAAAATGCTTTTATAAAAGAACCCATGCAAAGTGAGTCAATAACGATCTTGAAAATAATATTAACAAAAACAATAACAAACAGATATTGATATTATGTAACGAAAGAACCATTAAGTTTTAACAAAAGTAAAGATGTTTATAAATGCAGTTAGCATACTATTATTTTCAATGCATCTTGTATGCTTTATCGCATATTTTCCGTAGTGGTAGGGCGAGTTTGAAACACATTTTAAATTTTTCCCCAAAAATAAAAATCAATAAGGGGAAGACCCGGGGACATATGCGGCCACGGAAATAGACTTCCTTATCCGATCCAACCGTTGGGAAACCTTTCATCCAAAAAATCGAACTTTCTGAGAAGTGTGTGTGAAAAGGTCATGCTGAAAACATGTTTCTCCTCGTTGCTAATGGAACCCCATCTAATAATTGGTAATTGGTTTGTCAAAAAATCCAAATAGATATCGCCATTTAAATGTCCATCAATAAAATAAGGTCTTACCGTCTAAAATTCCAAGATACCAATGCAGGTATTCCAAGGTAAGATACTGAGCCAGCAGTGTTAGGAACATAATATTGTTTCTTTTTATAAATACATTTTGTTTTGGTAATTGAATGTCTTTTCATTAAAGTCGTGTTCCTCAATTCATTGTCATTACGGCAGAATCTCTAATCTAGCACTTCATTACACCGGCATGTCCAGTAATTTGGCGTTATTTTTTTTGCATTTATCTACCATCTTTAAAGAATACAGTTTATACAGTTACAGTTTAATTGAAAGATACAGATTCCAGAAAAATAAAAATATTACAATATACATATATATGCACACACAAATGTAATATGTATGTATATATCGTCCCTCTTAACACGTAGGGGCGTATAATCCAAGAAATGGATATACACATACACCTCTACGTGATAATAGGGACGAACCAATCTCTTCGTTAATAAAAAATTAAAAGTAACGTTTTTTAATTTAATACTCTTTAGATTATACATATTCCATTAATTAGAATTTTCCAGTACTCCGGCACTCTTAAGATTTTAATTGTGCCAGATTAATGAGATTTTACTGCATTTATTTCTTGCTCAGTAATTTGCGAATAACTTGATAACAAAAAAAAGATATCAAATCCTTGTTGTTGTCAAAATGTAGCTAATTTGTATCCTTTTCAAACTAACCTATAAAAAGTTTTATAATCTTGGATAAATAGCGCTAATAAATAACTAAATAGACAAGTTGTTCTTTTTGAAAATTAGTATGTGTACGAAATTTAAAATCCAAAAACAACAAACATTTCTTATTAGACATATAAAGAAAAATGTGGTTGCTTTTATGGTCACTTAGTAATTTTTAAGCAAAAATTTTGGAGTTGTTTTTCAAAAATTAATAAAAAAAAAATTCCCATATAATACGGACTTTAATAGTGAAAACGGTACATACAAAGCCTATTTCTTGAAACACATCATCGCTATTCTATTATTTATTGATTATTCTAAGTGGGAAGTTATATAAACATATTCATAATTTGTACATGTTAAAAAAAATGTTTTTTTTTTATTAATCACGGCTAAATGTACACAATTGTATCTTTTTTTGTATGATTAAAATTTTGACAATCAGATTTCACTAATATTTTATAAATTACAAATTTTTCACAAATGTAACAAACATCCATTATTCGTCTTATACAGGGCTGGAAAATCCACATGGTCCATCTGCCTTTACATAGAGCGACAAGGTAAAGTAAAGAAATCCGTGCGATAGACAAGGATGGCTATAGTGAAGACGTTTCATAATCTGAATAGTCACCGCCCGTTTCGGGTTAGAAGTGGGAGTTACTATTCAGATTATGAAACGTCTTCAATGTAACCATCCTTGTCTATCGCATATAAACTTAAATTGATATATGTATGGAAGCTTTTTCTTATCTTGGCAGAAATTTATAAAATAACAATACTGTCTATACAAGTGCAAAATATTTTAGAGGGTGGTTGCCGAAGTTATTTTGTGAAAAAAAGTTCGTTTCCAAGATACAGTGTTTAAATTTTAATTTTTTTATTTATTATTTTTATTAATTATTTCAAAGAGTTTTAAAGATATCGACTCAAAATTTGATGGTTGTAAATTGTGTTTTTAAGATATAGCAATTTTTCTGATAAAACTTAATTTTTATTATTTTATAGAATACCAATATTAATTAATAAAATGAACTCAAAATGGAATGACAAATTATGCACTGACAAGTTGACACAATGTGGCAGTTTATTCCAAAGCCCTCTCGTGTGACCGAAAATAATAAAAATTAGGTTTTTTCAGAAGAACATGCTTAATAAAAGTTGAAGTGGACCTACATGTGAATAAAATACAGGGTGTTCCATTTGAAAAATTTGAGAAAATCAAGTTTGAACTTTCTAAAAATGATGTATTATAAAAAACGCCTTGTATAATATATCAATATTAGCTAATATAGGAGCCTTTGTCTAACATTTACCTATAACTCTGTCAAATATTTTTGCTCCAAGTGTTAGTAGTTGAAAGTTAATACATCTTCGAGGTCATGTTTTTTCCAAAATTCGAAGAATTTTCTACTTAACTTGGCAACTAAAATGTTAAACTGTTTATGTTGTCATATAAAGAATCCATATGTTTAAAAATATACAGGGTGTTTAATTTAAAAAATGTAATATTTGGCATATCCCGTTTTTACTCATCATCCTGTATGTTTCAAATTCATTTTGTTGTTTAGGTTTCTTGATTCTGTACAACTTTTATATAAACTTTTTTTCTATATTATGAATAGATAGATAGATAGATAGATAGATAGATAGATAGATATTTTTTATTTAATCACATTACAAAACTGTTTGTGACAAGTCATAAAAAAAAGTACCAGTATGCTGCTACAAACCAAAGAACAATAGTTTAAAACATACATACAAGATTAAAAAGGAGGATAACAAGGGAGTTATTTGACTTTCTCACACTAATGACCCACCTTGTATATTCACCATATCCATTGCGAATTCTTCACGTGCATTTAACAGTAATTTTTTTTAACCTCAAACTTTCAAATATCTCGAAAAATAAATACTCTATGAAAAAAATGTCCATAATCAAAATTTAATCACTACGTGTAGAAAATATATTAGTACTAAAATTAAATCTTACTATTTCTTATTGCAGATTCGGATTCCATGGATAAAAGTACATAGAAATTGTCTGAAACATTTCTGCTGTAATCGACGAAACTCAAATTTTCCAATTTCTCCTACTGAGAACCTATGCATACAATTCTGCAACGTGTTTGCAATAGAAAATACCACGTTGTATGTAAATACTCGAAATTCGTCATCAAAAAAATTTATTCATTTTACAAATTTCTTAATTGTTACCTGTAGAAATGTAAATGGCTGGTGAATAAACTACTTTTAATGTATCCCAGGAACG